AAAGGCCTTTTTTGGCGTAGTGACGGCAGAGTGTTTGTGTAGAGGGCTTGCATAGGGATGCCCGCCTCAGATAGCATTTACTTCGTGTAAATGTTGGTAAGAAAAATCCAAGAACAAATTCCAGGTGTCAAAAAAGTTCGTTTCAATCTGACAAAAAAATTACTGGTTTCAAACCATTAATCTTTAGCGCTGAATTTTATTATACCAGATTAATAAATTATTCTATTTTGGCATAATTCTGGAAAGTATCATTTCATGAAAATGGGATTTCTTTAAAATTGTAATAGATAATGGAAGGTCTAAACTGGTACTGAAAATGATAAATTATTTTTAAGGGCCATTTGGTTTAATTCTTGTTTTGCTGAGAGTGGAAAAGGAAAGAAGAAAAAATCATTACTACCATATAATATCGCCTTTTCTACTGGCATAATCTGGAATTGGAAAACGAAAAATGAAGATTGTGTGTGTGTGTGTGTGTAGTAATGTGCAGGGGCAGACCAGAAAATTTTTCCAATGCGGGTGGTATTAGTAAAATAAATAAAAAAAAAACATTATAACACAAATATTATACTAAAATGAAATATCTTACAATTGTTCGTTACGAGTTTTTATACTCTGATACCTTTACATAAACAATAAGGTTATTATTCATCCACTCATCTCCAATTCAATTGCGCAATCTATCCTTCACAATGTTCATAACAGAAAATACTCTCTATCGTAGCAGTAGCAACCGAAAGAATTAGTGTCAAAATCAAAAGCTAACCATTGGATACGCTCTGCTCTTATTTGTCAAAACTAACTTCTGTGTGAGAGCACTGAGACCATTCAATTCTTCAAACTCTTTGCTAGAGAGGACGTAAAAAATGTAATTATCAAGTTGAAGAGATCTACTTTTGAAAAATCCTGTGGATAAACTTAGTAAGTTGAATCGACTTTCTTTTATCAAAATCAGAGAATGAATTTTTTGGACACAGAAAAGCTACACAAAAGAGTAACTCAATATTTAAACGATCATTCAATTCTTGAAGTTGCATATCTACGACAGAATAAAATAAATCTACCTGAAAGTTATACAAGTTGGTCATTTGTTGAGGATTACGATGAGGGCGACCACCATGTGCAAAATGCATAAACATCGCATCCATGTTTGGAACA